AAGAACATTTGCGAGAACAGAACTGAACACACGCGAGAGCGAAACGTAATTATGTATTGTGTTTTATTCACACACTCGTTTATCAACTGCAGACGGGGCTGAAAAGTTTTTTAATTATTTATAAAGAGCAAGCGGCACGTTTGGGCTTTGTGTTTGCTTCGGTCCTGGTCGCTCCTCGTTAGGTCTCTTTATGGCACTCCAAGTATTTTCCTTTGTGGAGGCCAAAATATTTGACAAAACTTTGGCTCAAGTGTTGATTTATTAAATTGTTTAGCCACAGTGGCAGCCTGACAGTAAAGCAGCTTGCCAGCCAAGGACATCCAGCTGCCAGGAGGGGGCGGAGCCAGCAGGTGGAGAGTGTGCTTTACGCGACACCTGTCCGACAGAAACACCTGGAGCACGGTCCATTGGTTCCATTATGGGAGCTGATCCACGCTGAGCCAGCCAACTTGTTTACAACTTGTCTATTTTTAGAGCCTCCCCCTTTTTCCCATCAACTGAATATCCCGGCGAAAACACCTAGAAAAAGTTGAACAGGAGTCGAGTAGAACTAGTTAAAGCCTGCCACTGGAAGGAAGGATGGATGACAAATGGCCAGCAGTTTTTCTGTATGCGACCTAAAAACTTTCTAATTAGCATTAGGCCCTAATGAAATCCATGCCCCGCTCTTTATCTGACAATTTATAGTTGACAACACACATTTGCCCAAATGATATGGCCAAGTTGCGTAATACGATATCCTCAAAATGCAAACGAAAAGTTGTCAAATATTTGCCAGATGTGGGCTTCCGTCCTCGTCTCGTTTTCACATGGGGAAAAGTGACAAGTTGCCACGCTTAAGGTACATGTGCTGAGGGTAAACTTTTCGGTAATTTTATTGAGCCAATGTCAACTTTTTAATTCAAATTTTAAAATAATCTGACAAAGGGAGCCCTGATTTACATTACAATAAAAGGATGGTAGATAGGTTAAAAGTAAATGTGATTTTTGGTAAAATTATTAGATATACTGAATTGTCTACTATCTGGTCAACTTATTTAAAGCCAACAATGTCAGGTGCTGGCTGTACGACTATGTAAAATGCCATGAACATAAATCGCATTTAGTGTGTGTCATAAATAAGATCGTAAATATGAAATAGCTGTGAAAAGACATCAACCGTTTTTATTATGAATCACTGTATTTCATGATGCAAGCATATTTTAATTCCTTCAGCATTAAATGGATTTCAAAAAGGTTTGACCATAAAATGCTTGGGTAGATTAATATTGGTTGGCTAACCGCATGTGGAAAACTATAAGTATTCAGAGCCAATTGCTGCATTAATAGTCGTAAAACTTCCATCTGTGAGAAATTGCTGTCATCGAGTCCTTGGAAAGAGCAGCCTTTGTCCGGTAAAGGACCATCGAGCTGCTTGCCAAGGCAGGCTAAAAATAAATAAATAATGCGCCTGGACTTGGGCCGCAACAGTGCGTATACGTGATAAGGCATTGTGTGGGTGCGAGTGTTGTGTGTGCAGTATGTGGTGTCCTCTGTGACCTGAGAGTGTTTGTGTGAGTGCTCTGAGAGTGTCCTGTGTGTGTCCTATTTGTGTGTCTGTGGTTTTCGGGGAACCTTTTTCCAGGCCTGGTCCGGAATGGCCTGTCCTGGACCATCTTGAACTCCAACTGCGTTTCTGTTTGCCCAGTGTGCCGCCTTTGTTTGTCTTGTATTTGCCAACATATGCTAGCCCTGGGTTACAAATGTCCGTGCCTTTAAGTTTCAACCATCTGGGCGAGCGGCCACCGAATTTGTAAACTCGTTTTTCATTTGGCATAATAAATGAAAGAAAAACAGCCAGCCAGCGATAAGCAAACGGAGACGAATGTGCCAATGTCAACTCGCAGAGTCATTGCGACATTTGTCTTCGCCAAAGAACTTCGAGCCAAATACAGTTTGGTTTGAGCCAAGAACCGCTCTAGCTTTGGGGGCAGATATGCAGGCCAAGTACGAATATTTGCTTGCATTCTAATAAGGTCGCATCTCTCTTGCATAATTTATGAGAGCACTTTTGCTAAGAAATATGAAACTATGCATATCTGATGAGCACTGACATTTCCGAGAAGTTGGACAGATGTAGGACAAGCTTAAAGGAAGCAAATATAGAGTCTTACGGCATAAGCAATGAGATGCACAAGGAAAATAAGAGGAAAGTTTACCTTAATCAAGACATTTTACGTAAGGAAGTATATAGAAATTATTCCCAATAATATCCTGACTAATTAAACGCTATTCACTAATAATGAAATAGACTAAGACGTCTCGTTGTTTGGTTAAAAATAAACCAACCTAGATATATTTTCATGCTAATCAATTTTATAAACTTTTCCGATAATATGTCCAAGCTATTATCTTCTGTGTTGTGTTATATCTTCCTCCTTTGAGTGTCCGTAAATGCTCACCTAACAATGTGCTGTTGCTCTTGCAATCACTATTGTTGCTGCTGCTTTACTTAGGGCTTAAGAGCGCTTTGCAAGCAACAGGGGTAAGCATAAAGGCGGCAGCCTAACGCCTGTTGCCGTTGGCCACGTCAAAAGGAGCCCCGACTTAACGCTTTATGCAAGGATTTGCCCGACGACGACAAGCGGCTCAGAGGGGAGATGGAGATGGAGGGAACTTACTACTACTTACTGACAGGTGAGTTTGTTAGCTTTTAAAGTTATTACACACAGAAACCATTCTCGCACACAATGTGTGTTTGTGCATGTCTGGTCGCTGGTAAACTTTTAATCACAAAAGACAACGCGCTCTCGGCATTAGGCACGAAAAAGTAGCAGGAACTTTGGAAATTATTCTGGGCAACCAGTGGGCATAAAATTGCAGAGCTGCTCATATCAAACTCCGCCATCTGCGTGGGCGGACGCAAATCCGGCGTGGGCCGCAGCGCAGCATATGTATTTACTTGGGCAAGAAATTGACTTTTCGTCTTTGCCATCTCCTACTTCCCAATCCCATTTCCTTCATCCTTGTGATGGACCGCTTGGCTCCCCAGGCTCTTATTTAAATTGTTGGCCAGCAATTACAGGCATCGCGATTGAGTTCGAGATTTGTTTAGATTTGCACGGCAATAGCTGACTGAATCGGAATCTAACGTTTTACTGCCGATAAGGTCGTAACATCAAAGGCAATAAAATCTAAACACACAGAGTCACCGTCAAAGTCCTACTGCAGATAAGGCGAACACGCGGCGTATACGCAATATCGATTGGGAAAGGGAGCTGAAGTGCCTGTTTGCCCAGTTCCGCCCTCCTGCCGCTCACACACACGCTCGGTTTGGGATACATTTTGATTTGTATTGGACGATAGCGTTTGACGTAGGAAGAGCAACAGATTTCATGAGTTTTTTTCGTTGTTTTTCCTTACTGCTACATGTGCCGCAATTTTATTACAAGGGCCACACCCACACACACACACACACAAATGATGAGTGCGGGATTCTTTTTTTTGGCAATTATCTACAAACGAAATCGAGTTTGAGGTCCAACTGGGGGAATCCAGTGCATTGGAAATTTGTAATAAAATGTTGGGTTCTATTTTTGACAATCTAAATCAGTTAGCAATCTGTGGGATTTGGGGTGGACTTAATTATAAAATCAAGAAATAATTAGCCAGAATTATTTGCTAATGGTAACCCTGCGCAATTAAAGTTCTTGGAATATTTAGCCGTTTTAAACTCATTTAGCTGAAATCAAAGATTTAATTAGTGCAACTTTTGCAACATTTTTCCAGAAATACATTCCGACGCAATTAGCAACAATAGGGTTCGCTTGGCACATGACCCCACCCGTATACATTTACGGATTGGTTTGTGCAACGGGCGAAAGCCGTGTCCATGGCAACTGTTGCCTGCAATCAGATTTGTCGCAGGACGCAGGATGCGGGGGCCAGTTGAGATTGCGCCATTGCAAACAGCATCGATGTCGCAATCAAGCCAGCGGATAACAAGGACAGAAGAGCAGCACAAGGATGGGCGCCTCAGGTGCCGACTGGATATCAGCTTACCGAAGCGTAGGAGAGTTAATTGGATTTAGCGCCTGTCTTATCTGGGCTCCCTGTTTCCCTATTTCCTAGACCTGAATCTCAACTCCTAGTTGTAATTGATGTCCCTAATTAATGGCACTCGTTTCGGCTCTTGAATTCGCATTAATTCGCCAGTCTGCAAATGAGTTATTGACCCAATCTCTCAGCCCGTGCAACAAGTGCGCGTCATAGCTGTCAGGCTCTGACAGAATTGGGCAATGGTTATGCATTATTTTGACGGATGCCAGGCGCAGTCCCAGTGGGCGGCATAGCGCCGTCTGGATTGCTCAACCCCTCGAGGTGAAGGGATGAAAGTAAAAGTATTTTTATGTGCAATTACTGGAGGTGCACGGAGAGAAACCATAGGTTGGGTTCACGTAAATACAATAATGCTGCGAAGTAAAGGATGAGCTGCGCTTACTAAGAAGAAAATGATTTATTTTTATAAGACATTTCCGATATCTTTTTTATAGACACAAAAACCTAGACCTTTTTTAACTCGCAAATCCTCACCAACTATGACTTTATTATTTTCCCCGTGTAACTGGTGTTTTCCCCTTTTATTTGCTACTCTCTCTCTCTCTCTCTCTCTCTCTCTCTTTGACCTTGCCCCGAAATGCAATGGCTGTTTATCATGCGATGCGCCTGACAGTATGCAACGGAAACCCCGCTCGGCCGACGGAAGTTGGCCAATGCCAGAACCGAAAACTTCGGCTCCTGATCTGGGATTCCAGGCACGCTCCTGCCACGAAAACACGTTCGCCAGTCAAGCAGACACAATTAGCTCCTCGCCTGACAACTGCAGCCTGTCTACCTGCTCCTGCTCCTGCTCGTAGTTCAAGTTGCTCCCCTCGAAACGCTGCTAGCAACCTGCCTCAGGCCAGGCCACGAGCCGACGGCAATATAATAATTGATTTTTCGCACACAGTCTTTCAACTTACCGGGCCTAGGTTGTCGAAGCCGTACTTGTCGGCCACTTGATGGGCGAATCCGTTGTCCACGCCGCGCCGGAAGCGCACCAGAAAGGAGCTGGTGAACACGGACGGACCGCTTAATCCCCCGCTGCCTGCTCCCGCTCCCGTTCCGGCGCTGGCCAGCTGGAGGGGCAGGAACAGGGCCAGAAGCCCGGCGCTCAGCAGACAGCTCCATGCGGCTGCTGCCATCGGTTTCAGGGTAGAGCGAGTCCTTGTCCTCCTGGTGGTTCTGGCTCCTTGCGACGATGGGGCAACACTGGCAGCCCAACAAAACAAGAAATCCGGGGGTGGCGGTTCTGGTGGTGGGCTGTCAGTAGGTGTCGAAAGGACGCGCTACGTCGCACACGCTGGAGTTTTTTATGTAAAGAATTTTATCCCGAACAGCAATGATCACAGTGGTCCTGAAAAGAGCCTTTGTTGTGGTTTGCGATTTGTTTTCTTTTTGCCTTCGCCGAGTGTGTGTATTTCGGGCTCTTCTCCAGTGCTTGCTTCTTGTTGTTGTGCTCTCCCTTAGCCTCTTTCCTCTGGTGGTGTGGGGTTTGGGGCTTTCGGCCTGTTGTTGGTCGGGATCTTTGTGCGCTGCCACGAACTTCACTGGGGCGCTGCGCGCTGAGAACTGGTCGTCGGCGGAATCGACGGACGCCATTATGAATGTCCGCCAGGCGCCGCAGCAGAGTCGAAAGCTTGGCCAAGGAAGCTCGCTCGAAAGCTTGCCGACCCGCCTGCCACCCACTTAACGCACCCCTGGAGCGTGTCAGCTGCTATCCCGCTCTCACAGGCAGGGGCGTTTCCAGTAAGGGATGCCTTTAGAGTATATATGAAATATCAACTAATCCCAGATTTCGGTAAGTTTACTTCATTATAATTAGTTTTAAAAATTATTTTTTGAGTGAGATTAAATGAATTTTTAAAGTGTTTTTAATATAAATTATTTTCAGCATTTTCAGAAGTATCTCAAAACCCCTGACTACGCCTCAGAGCAGCCAAAAATTACAGAGCTATGCCAGCTGGGCTTTCGCTTTGGCTTTTCCCACCGACTTAGACTTTCCATTCCGGCTGGCTTGGCTTTTGCAACGGTTTCCGCGGACCTTAGACGTCACCACTTTGGGGCACTCACTGCTCCTCCTCCTTCAGCGTCACCCACCGCCCCCTGTCGCTTAGTGCTAAAATTTAGCAACTGTCTTGCCATTGGTTTATGCTGCGCTCCATCAACATATGGCAGCATGTCGCCTCGCCTGCTCCTCAGTTCTGGCCGCGTAGGGACGACGACGACATCGTCGACTATCCATAAACATGAACGCAATTGCCTCTTACGCGAAATGGCTGCAAAAGGGCTTCAACTTTGACCTTAGCCCAAATAGGTTCATAAAGCCCCGAGCCCAAGCAGCAGCAGCAAGCCTTTAAACTGCAGCCCCGAAGCCAAGACAACTTTCGCCGGCTTTTCGGTTAGCATCAATTCTCTTGATTGTTTTATCGGAGCGGCGGCGTTTAAGTGCAGATGGGAATTCTTATATTTTGATTTCATTTGTCATAAATTTCTCCTCTGCCCAGGGAAATCCCTTTGCCGGATAAGCTATCACATTTTTAACTTCAATTTATGAACTTCTCGGGCGAACGTACACAATACGACCCGTATGCTGGAATAAACTTTAAATTTAGATTGAGTTTCAAGTCCTTTCTTAATAGTAAGTCTAACCTTGGCAGAAAAAACTAGTGCATGCTGAAATCCAGAAAGGTTTTCTCTCAAATCTGATAAATATATTTTAAGCAAATAATCTGTTTTAGTTAACGAATTCTTTTCACTTAAACGTTGATTTATTTATTCTTAAGAAATAGTTTGAATGGTAATTAATCTCCGGTTTTTTCAATTCATTCTTGATAAACATATTCATAAATAATTCAATCAAACCGATTTAGGTAATTAAAAAATAACAATACTTGACTTACAGTTAAATTATCTTAGAGAAATGCAAGTTAGTCCGAGATATAAAAAATATTGTATACTTGATAACTTTGAAGTTACAATGTCACTTCCAAAGCAAAATAAAGCCGTTCTAAATTCGAGATGACCTTTATAGGGCCACTAAAAGGGATATAAAACTGAAATCCACCGCCAACATTTCAATTAATTTAAAACGCTCTCGCACTCAATGAACGCCCTATCATCGGTGAATGAAAGCTCAGCCGGGGGGATAACACACCGCCAGGCTCCGTCAGTGGCCAGTCGCATTCACCTGTCCCTGCCACCTGTGCAGGTGGTGGGCGGCGCATCCCCGGCTCGATAATGCCGAGCATATGGCGGGTCGCATGCGCTGTACAAGCAGCAGACAAAGCAGACATTCGAGGCGGCAATCGAGGGACCCGTTTTAAATTACAATTAATTTTTAATTAGTCTTAAATTTACATTTACAAAGACGCTTAACAGATGCATGAATCAATTAGCGCGCACGCCTTTCTGGCGAGTGGTCAAGGAAAATAATAAGAAATGAAACAAACTAAATTGGAACAAAATCAAAATACTTAACACTTATCCACGCTCTCATCACATTCGGGGAAGATGGGTTTGATCTGTTATCCGTGTCGCCTTTCATTTCCGACTGCCAAACAATTTTCCACGAGCTGGAGGAGGGAACAAGATGATGAACTCTCTAACATATGAACATTTATTAAAACTCACCGTGCGAGGTTGCCGGGGAAAGGGCGTGGGAGCTGGCATGCCGCTTCATACGCGGCGTATCGGCTAGCGCAGATCCGGAAGCGGAGGAGGCACTTGTACAGGTAGCCGGTCCATTACCAGCCATCACATTGGTTAGTGTGGAGATTCCGCTGGACGCATCCCCGGTGGTAGGCATCGACTTGTAGCGTTGCAGCGAATTGCGCGGCTTCTTAGGCGGCATAGTGGCCTGCTGCACTGCCTCCTCCAGGGCACTTAGCCAGTCCTCACTCTCACTCTCGTCCTCCAGAAACTTCATGTAAAACGATGGCCGCTTGGCCTTGTGGTGACTGGTCGGTGTGGTGCCTGCTGGCTTCGGTGGTTTCTGCTCCTCTAGCTTGGACTCTAGTTGCTGCGAGGCCTCAAGCAGAAACATGTCCGACTCCGAGTCGTTCAGGAAGTCCACCATTGGATCAGCTACAGGAAGAGCTGGCTCAGGCGGTTGTGACTCCGGTGAAGGCCTCTTACTGGCCGATCTGGTACGGGCAGCTACAGGAACAGAAACTCTTGGCGTTTCCATCGGTTCAGGCACCTTCTCAGACACTGCCACCTGGTCCAGCTGGCGGTGCAGCTTGTCACAGCGCTCTTTGAGCAGATCCCGGGCCCGCATCTGTTGCGCTCGCCACTGGTTGTTGTCCAGCTGGCTGCGTCGGTCCTCGCAGCCCTTGAATGTGATCTGTCGGCGACGGTCCCGCACGCTCAGCTCCGCCGAATCGAAGCCGCTGTCTGTGGTGGCGTTGCTGCTGCGGTTCCAGCGCCAGCCCACCTCGGGGCTCTCGATGGCAAGTGTCTGCGAGAAGAGGCAATGCGGCGACAGACTGACGTCCAGGCGCGGTGAGAAGTCAACGCTGTCGTCCAGGCTGGGCTGCCGCTTGTGCGGCGGCGTGCTCTCCACATCATCTGTGATGCTGACCGCAGAGGAGGGAGATCCGGGAGTCTCCGAGGAGCAGCTTACATCCTGTGCGCTTCCGCTTCCTGGGCGCCCGCAGCTCTGGGGCGAGGCTAAAGGGGAAATTCGCGGTTAATGGGCATTCTAGCGCATCTGGAACCAACACTTACCACTGTGCCGCTTTTGCAGCAAGCGAGTGCTGAGCGTCAGCGAACGCCGTTTAATAATTCCATCCATTTAATTACATTTATTTGTTTTTTTGTTGTTGTTTCTGCTGTCGTCGCAAAATGCGCTCAAAACCGAAATAAGTCTATCGAACCTGCCGAACCTATCGACTCATCGAACTAGTTCCTATCGAAGAGAAAGTCCGGCAGCGCTGGTCGGTCGTGGCCGAAATGTCTGGCAGCACTAGTTGCTCAAGCAAAATCTACATACTCTATAAATTTTGAAAAATCAAGAATATATATGATTTCACATCGTTCTAGGCTTCTGACTGTAATTATAACACAATTCGTTGACCCAATATTTATCTATATTTTTATATATAAATATGTTCTACAAATCAAATTTAAAAATCTCATAACTAAGCCAAAAGAGAATTAATTTCAATTCGGAAACTACTTTTATGTTAGTTTTTAGAATTTTAATAAATTTGCATACTCAATTTAAAATTAAAAAAAAAAAAATTGGATTTTGGCCAATTTTTGACAATTTTAATGATGTAACCCCTTACAAAATTTTGAAAAAAATAATTTTCTTGCAAACATTGCTAGAACGATTCCGCTATTGATGCTGATCAAGAATATACATGATTTATAGGGTCCTTCACATTGTTTCAAGCTTCGGACTATAATTATAATACCATTCGTTGCCTCAATATTTATCTATATTTGTATATGATATATGATCTTCAAAAAAATTTAAAAATTTCATAACTAAGCCAAAAGAGCATAAATTTTAATTCGGAAACCACTCTTATGTTAGTTTTAAGTAGTTTAATAAATCTGCATACTCAATTATAATTTTTAAAAACCTAGGATTTTTATCAATTTTGGACTATTTTAATGATGTAACCCCTTATAAAATTTTCAAAATTTTGAAAAAATTTTATTTCCTTCGGACATAGCGTAATCGATTCAGCTCTTGATGCTGATCAAGAATATATATGATTTATAGGGTCGGAAATGACTTCTTCACAAATGATCACCAAGATCACCTAAAACAAGTCTCGATGTTGGCAGCCTTCGATATTTTTACACAATAAAAAATATTACCAAATTTATTTATTATTTACATCCACGTTTTACAAAATAAACTAATAATTTTCTATATTGTTTTTTGATAAGGAAAACATAACAATTTAAATAAAAACACACCAATTTAAACAGACAACACCACCAATAGAACATTCTATGTTTAACATATTATTAATAATTTATTCCAATAAAATAAAATAAATATTTTTTACTTACAATTGGCGCTTTTTTTTCGCGGCTAGAGAAGGATAAACATCGATGTCGGCGTGTTACCGATGTTTCACAAACATCGATAGGATCGATGTTGCCATCGATGTTCTCCACCTCTAGTGCTGATGTGTAAAAACCAAAATTTTGAATATAATTCACTTTTACAATAAGCCAGCCAATTGGAGCCCCCGACAACCAGCGGAGCAGCATGAACTACAATCCGAACGCGGGTATGCGGAACCGTAAGTGGGAGAACTGTAAGGATCAGGCTACGCAAGCAAGTATACCGCCAGTCGAGCGCCCCGCCGCCACTCCGGATGCGGCTCCTCCGACCGCAAGCCCGCCGACCGGACCGGATTGAAGCCGGAGTGCGTCCGCAGATGGCGTCGTTTACGTTTCCCTCTGTTGCGTTCGATTTCGGTTCCTGTGCCTGCCGTTTCCGTCCCTGCGCACCCTCCTCGTTTCTGTGCCCGCCCAGCGTGCTTCTGTTCTGTGCTGCGTGTGTAGCTTGATTTGCCTGTGTTCCCCCGCTTTGCCCCCTTTCCACCTGTTCCGCCACTAACCGCCAGTTGCTCTCACCCAAAATAGCACAAGCTGCCGGTCGCCCGCGACCCACCAAGCGTGTCAGCGATATGAATGCCATGGGTCCCTCGGCTCCCATGATGGGCGGCGGCGGTTCCCCGTTCATGGCCCCGCCCTCCAACCCTCCAATGCTCGATCCCAATGCGATGTACGGAGCACCGGCTCCGGCGCAGGCCAACAGCTATGGCTTCAACCTGAATCCCGCACAGCAGCCGCAGCAGATGCAACAGATACCGCAAATGCAGCAGCAGCCACAGCAGCCGGGCTTCGGATACACGTCACAGCCCACACAGCAAACGGGTCCGGCTCAAACCGGCTACGGAATGGGTGCTCCCCAGTCGGGTGCTGGTCCCCAGGCCGCTGGACAGTACCCACAGTTTGCCATGTTCCAGCAACCCATCGTACAGGATATGGCCATGCAGTATGGCCAGCGGTTGGCTGACCAGGGAAAGCAGCTGGTGGAGAACCAGTTTGAGAAGTGGGTGCCGGTGGCCAAGCTGAAGTACTACTTTGCCGTAGACAACGCCTATGTGGGCCGTAAGCTGCGACTGCTCTTCTTCCCCTACATCCACAAGGTGGGTCGTAACTTAAAACCGAGTGAAATGCTGACTAAAATCTAAAATCTTCTGCAGGACTGGTCCTTGAGGTACGATCAAGAGCACCCGGTTCAGCCGCGCTACGATGTCAATGCTCCGGATCTCTATCTGCCCACCATGGGCTACATCACGTACGTGATCGTGGCCGGCCTACTGCTGGGCATGCAGCAGCGCTTCTCGCCCGAACAGTTGGGCATCCAGGCGTCCAGCGCCATGGCCTATAGCATTTTTGAGCTGGTAATCTACTCCATAGCCCTGTACGTAATGAATGTGAAGACGAGTCTGAAGACACTGGATCTGCTAGCCTTCACGGGCTACAAGTACGTGTGCATCGTCTTCTGCCTGATGGTCAGCACCCTGTTCTTCAAGTCTGGATACTATATAGCACTGGCCTACACCAGCTTCTCCTTTGGCTTTTTCTTGGTAAACGCTAGCTTGGATTGCACTTAGCCGTGCACTGAAACTTATCTTATCGTTTTTTTTCTTCAGCTGCGAACACTGCGGACGAAGCTGATCCAGGACAACTCTCCGGCTGCGCCCAGCGGTGCCATTAACTATGATCCTTATGGAAATCCCCAGCAGCTCGACTACAGCGGCGGGAAAAAGCGCAAGCTATACTTCCTGTTTATGGTGGTGGTGGGGCAGGCATTGTTTGCCTTTTTGCTCTCCAAGCACTTGTATTTGACGAAGGGAGAGGTGCTGGAAGTGCCCAAGACCTTCTAACCACTGGGGTTGGTAGCTTAATGCCTTGAATTAAAAAGGAGCCAGGATCCACTCGAAGGCGACTCATTTCCAGCTTGTTAAATCCTCTCCGTAGTTGGTGAGATTCGCGCAAGAGAAACCTATTTTTGTTAGTAACAAACTCACATTTTATAAATAAATATCAGATTTGAAAGCGACCCAGCCTTTCCTGCTTTTCATTGACATTTCATTTCATTCGGAAATTAAATTTTTTATATAATTTTATTGAAAGTTTAGTCTCTTTTTACGGTAACGTGTTCTTGGTTGGTTGTTTGCTTGCTCTGCTCTTTGTTAACTTATTGGCTAACTCTGCAAATTGCCGCTAGTTTCTTGTTCGTTATAAAATATATGTGTGTTAGAGCTGTCAAAGCATATATAGTATTACTATTGCGATGGTATCAAGGGGATATTTATAAAATAAAAAAGTTTACAACAAAGGGAATTTTCCTTTCGGTTTGATCGAACATTTTGTTAAAACATTTATAAATTTGAATAGACTTTACAAAAAGAAAAGATAATTGCAGTCTTTGTATTTTACGTTGTTTTCTTTTTAATTCTGTATCTTTCCACTGTCGCTTGTTTTCAAGCTTAACAAAATATGTTAGGTTAAATTCAAAAACCTGACAAAAATAATATAAAGAAGACATGATACTGTCGCGATAGTTTTCAAACCATAAAATGTTGAACAACTCTATTGGGAGTCTATGAAATGTTTGTTGTGGTGTTTTCGGTTTCAGATTTCGATATCCTGGCTTCCGTTTCCTGTCTGCATTTAGTCTAATTTGTTCGGTTGCATCAAAAAATAAAAGGCATACGAATCCGTAGTAATAGTAATGATAACAGCTCCTACTTTAGGTTAGTTTCGTGAGTTTACATAGTTTAGATAGTTCGTCGTTGGTTAGTTGGGGCCTCAACTGCAACTCAGTACATAGCACAGTGTGAAAAGTCGCTAGCTTAGCTTCTCTTATCGATCGTTTGATTCTGCTTTATTTTTTAAATTTTTTACGTTTAGTTCGCTAATGCCGTGGCTTCTTCGTTCTTTTGCTTTATTTTTTTATTATGTGTAGTGTAGGCTAGCGCTTAGTAAATAGTTATAAACATGCTTTGCTTTGTTTTCAACAAATTCCACGTACTAAAAAAATAATACATTTACAACTAATAATTTAGAGTTAAACATATACGTTTTTGTTCTGTTGCCTGATGCTGCGTATAGATATCGTAGTTATGTTGTACATAGCTATATTGTATATATATTTATATATATTATGGGTGTACGGCTGTACGGCTGTACGAGTGTGTGTCTCTGTGTGTGTTTGTGATTCATAAACTCATTTAGGCTACATTTGGAATACAAAATACGCAACATAAAAAACCTTTAAAACTCTTGCTCCTATCAATAAATTATCGAAAATCAATCGCCTAGTTTTAACCTAGATCACCGACTGCTTCTGCTGCTGCTCCCGCTGCTGCTTGACAAGATTACGCTGATAGTTGACCAAGTCCACTTTATTGAACTAAATTACCGTCCCGCCGGGCGCCGCCGTCTGACCGGGAGACAAGTGCTGTGTGGCGTGCTAAAAACAAAACAAAAATGTATATTAACTATAAAGCTATATATATATATTATTCAACTTACCGTGGCATGACCCGGCCGCGCCCAGGTATAGATAAACCCATCCTGACACGCCGTCAAAAAGCAGTCCTCGCGAAAAATCAGCGCCGTCAACCGTTCGTGGGCAATCTTCTTGCATACCAGGGGTTCCAACAGCGGGCACTCGTCGAAGCGCGGACAGGCGGGCGTTCCGATGAGCTGCATGGGATCGAAGCTACTCACGCCCGATCCCGCTCCTGATCCGGACGACTGGGCGGCCGCGGCCAGCGAGGAGTGGTGCGACGAACGACTGAGCTTCAACGAACCGAAGCTGTGCGCCGTCGAGCTACTTCCGATGGCCGCGGTCGCCCCCGATTCCAGAATGGAGGAGCTGCTGTTATTGCTCTGGCTGTGGTTGTTGTGATTGCTGTGGTTATGCTGATTGTAACTCTTCAGCATGCTCATCGCCTTGCGATGCTGGCGGTGCGCTGTCGAGTGGCTGC